GACTGTATTGACGGTTATCAATTTGGTAGTTTCAATATACCTCATATGTACACAAAAATATATAGGTTTATATATTTATACATGTTTTAGAACTTGTATCTTAGGCTCATACATGTGCTTGTGTACACTATAATAAGTTTTATCAACTATTTAAACAAGTATCGTACCCTTTTACGTATACGCTTATCAAATATACTTGTCGTTTATCTGTTTATCCGTATCTACGGTTGTAAAGTACAACATTTGCAAATAACTTTATCCTTATCTCCGTATGTTTGTTTATCTGTTATTCGTTTATCTTTGTCACTATAAACTTTAACTATATTTCATTATCTAGAAACCATAGTTTAGATTTCTATCTTTATCAAACATTGCAAAACATGGTTTTACTTACAACAAAGGCAATACTTTTTGAACTTTTTATAAGCATTGTACTGCGGTTAAGCAGAAAACTTATGACTCTCACCAACCTTTGTGTTGACCCTCAAACTTACATGCATTCTTAGGAGATCATTAGACAAGCTTTCAGACAGAAGATTAGTCGTGGATTATAGACGACTTAGCAATCTAGTTTTTGTTATCTGCCTACCTGTTTAAGTCAACTATTGTACTATTATTATCTATAAGAAACCTGTATTAAAACTTAATGATGGAATACAAATTTTGTTTTTTTTCATCGTTGTACTTGTGCTATATATTCAGTTTAAATGTGATCCATGAACTTAGTCGCACTCCCGGCATGTTCCCCATTGGCCGGGGGTGTGACAGAATGGTATCAGAGCTAAATTTTCTATAGAGAACTCGTATCCTCGAAAGAGGAATACAACTATAGCAAACTAGCTTCTAATAAAAGTATTATTAATAAAGAAAACTACTTCTCGACTACTTACAGTACGATGAATCTGGTTTGAAGTGCCGCTTGGGTTGCTGGATTCAGAACAGCTTAATTGCCAAAATAATCAGCCCTCTGGTACTTCTTTTCTGGCCGTTGTTTGTGTTCGGTAGTCGTGAAGTATAAAACAAAAGTTAATAATACTAAAAACCCCACCAACCATAATATATAAGTGTTTTTATATACTCCGCGATGAGAACACTTAATAAAATCTTAAACATCCCTTCAACTAAAACTACCAACTCAACCATTTAGGTCAAACGCCTCAATTAATGGTTAGTACCATACATAAGTCATACCACAAATAAACCTGGAACGGGCACCTATGTTATGTTTTGGTCAGGCCGGTGCACAACCAACCTTGAGCAAGGAGTTTGACAGACTACAACGGTTGAGAGTTTTAGAGATTGAAAAATGTTCTCCAGATTCGCTGCAGCGACCTGGTATCGTAGAATCCATATATACATTTTAAAACACTTATACATTTCAAAATCATTACCAAATAAGATCCATTTCAATCATTTGGAAATCTAGAGGATTTCTAAACCAATCATCTTTCCCCTGTCATTTGAAAATTAGTAGGATTCCAGGAGTCAATCTCACTCTAAGACATGAAAATCTATGGGATTATAGGAATAAATTATGCTAATACACTATCATGCAATACAATTATTACATGCATGTATTATGTAGTATAAACAACTTAAGTGTGTCTTTTCTAAACGTTTGGGACAATGCCTCTACGAAAGGAACCACGAGTTCGTCCACCGACAACTCCCCGAGGCAACTGAAAGAAAGCCCCACCAGTAAGTCAAACATTAGTGGAAACTCCAAACCAGGGAGGAGCCCTAGAAGTAACAAATGTGAACCAAACTTTTCAAATGGACCCCACCATGATGCAAAACATGGTTTCACAATGAATTGCTATAACCTTCGCAACATACGAGGCAGCCCGTAACGAAAACACTAAGAATAGTGGAAGTGGCACGCCAATAACTCACCAAAACAGCCCTAGACACTGCTCCTACAAGGAATTCATGGGCTGTAAACCCCGATTCTTCTACGGCACTGAAGGAGTTGTTGGTCTATCCCGTTGGATAGAAAAGACTGAGGCAGTTTTTCACATCAGTGCGTGCCCCGATTAACCATGCAAAGTCCATGGGAATCGTTGAAGCTTATGTTATGGGTTGGGAACCACTGAAACAGATGATGATCAGAGAATACTGCCCCCGACAGGAAATCCAGGCTCTAGAACAAGAGCTTTGGAATCTGACCATGCAAGGATCTGAGATAGCTTCCTACACCTCCGATTCAATGACCTTGCTAACCTTTGCCCAAGAACTGTACACTCGGAAGATAAGAAGATTGAGAGATACATATGGGGACTAGCATCACCAGTCCAGGGTCTAGTTACTGCATCTGGACCATCGACTTTCGATGGTGCTAATCAATTGGCCTATCAATTGACTTAGCAGTGTATCTGTCAGGGTACCATGGCCCCACCAGTAGAACAGAATCATGCCAAAAGTACCAAAAGGAAGTTTCATGGGAAATCAAAGGGCAACTCCAAACATCACAAAATTGAAATAGAACCTTTGCATGTCTATTCTGCAATTACCAACACTCCTACTCTAGATAGGTCCTACACTACGACTTTACCTCATTGTACAGAGTGAAACTTCCATCACGTCGGAAATTATAGTGAGATAATCTGAAACAGGTGTAACATGAGAGGTCACATATCGAGGTACTGTAGAAAAACCCCAACCATAACGGCAGGCGGAAGCCATAACTGTTTTGAATGCAATCAACCATGTCATTTAAGGAAGGACTGCCCGAAACTGAAGAATCAAGGTGGCAATGGAAGATCACTTATGATCATTGTTGGAGATGCTCTCCAGGAACCACCTATGGTTATTGGTACATTTCATATCAACAATGTTTAGGCTTCAGTATTAATTGATATTGGTGCCGAAAAAAGATTTATCGACCATAGGTTTCGAAACTCGACAAAACATAAATTCTGCAAACTTGATGAAACTTACACAGTAGATATGGCAATCAACCAAATAGAAAGCACTTTAGAAATACACACCAATTTCTTTCTCACCCTAAATAATCACGTCATTCATATAGAAACTAAGGACCCTTGTTGGTAATCTATGCTTGCTAATTGTATACGTTAGGGCTGTATATAATTAAGATTCTATAAACTTAGGATTTGTGACTCCGTTTTAATTCTTGTTCCGTGTTTGGCTGTGGTCTTAAGGTAGAATCACTTATTCGATTGTCTATTCAATCTTGATGATATATGACATGTATGCACAAAGCAATTATAGAAGGACTAGGCAGGGATCATGTACCACGAAAATACATTACTATTTATCGAATCCCCGTGTACTATCGGTACGAACTCAATTTCGGGGCACAATTTATTTTAACCGCGGGGGGGGGGGGGGGGGGGGGGGGGGGGGGTAATGTGAAATCCCGAAATTTAGGTCAAAAATTATAGCCGTCCAATTCACCGAGAATCTCATGATAATCTAACTTATTGAGTTTTAGTGCATCTAAAGTAAAATAAATAATTTTGTTTCAATTATTATATGATGTCAGATGATACCTTACTTCCAAATGTGTAAACTGTCAACCGAATGAAAGCGCTTATACCGCAATGCAAATTAATAGGGCTGAAAAACTGAAATTTTGCATTAACTCGTTTGAAGCAAAACAAAAGTTAAATATTATAGTACATGTTCCCCTGTTTCCCAAAATAAAAATAACGTCCAAAACGTAGTTCGTATACAAAAGATAGGACAGTTTTAAGAAAAAAAAAACAGTAAAACACTGGTTTTCTTTAATCGCGTAAAACCGAATCGATCCGTTGAGGCACTTACTTTTTGCCTATGGTATTTTCGATAACGTTTTTGGAATCAGACAATAGTCTATTATTTAATTTCACACTCAAAATATTTTTAAAGAAAATGTTTACAAAAGTCGCGAAAAACGAAAATATTTACAAAAGTCGCGAAAAACAGACTTTACGGCTATTCAGACACAAAACTTCGAACGCAAATTTCGGAGTTCCGTAACTGCAAAAATTAATCCATTTGAGTTTTTGGAATCCTTGAATTAATTCCTATCTGACGGTACTTTTGAAAAATTTTCTCGGCACCCGGATCCCGATACACTAAAAATGAGTGGTTTTTGGGAATTTAATGGGCTAGACCCTCTTGTAGGGCCCACATGGGATATTAGTCCTCCTTAGCTTACCCACGTGGGTTTTCCTTTTTCTTCTTTCTTCTTTGAGTGCAAGCCTCCCCACGAAGTACAATAATGGTGATTGAGGTATGGGGTTTTTACTTACCATTACACTATAAATAGAAGGCCTTGGGGTCCTTATTGAATCAACAAATCATAAACCTAACCTTACCTCTCTCTCCATCTTAATCTTCTCTCACTACTACAAAAAAGAGCATTACCGACGGCCAAAACCGTCGGTAATCCGTCGCTAATAGGCTTTACCGACGGAACTGCAAAAGACCAAAATCCGTCGGTATACTCTTGTCGCTAATTTTTTGTAACAGATTTCCGACAACTACAACAAATTTTTAGCGACGGAATTTCCTGTCAGTAATTAGTAACCGATCACCGACGGAAATAGTTTTGCAACGGATTACCGACGGAATAGCTAAGTAACAGATTACCGACGGATTATACAACATTTTTACTGACGGATTTCCGTCACTAAACCGTCGCTAATAGTGATTTTATTTTTAAAAAAAAATTATATGAAATTTCGCACTTTTTACTATATTAAATAAACAAAAAAACATAATAAAACAAACAAATTTAGAAAAACCTAATCAAAATTTGGCGATTCATATACAATGATAACATGTATGCAAACTTTTGCAAAATATGAAATCCTAATATACACACCACATTAATCATACACATATATGCATATTGCAAGTTATCCACAAACAAATTCACTGAATTAAATGACGGATAATCCACAAATGACCATATGTTTAATTAACATGAAAATTTCCAAAAAAAAACACTAAATAAACCAAGAAACTAATTGTAGCTAACTTGTACCTGTATCCTAGCCTATACAAAAAAGAATCGTCAATCATACCATGAATATAATGTGACCATGAATATAATGAAACAATTTTATGGATAATTACACAAAGAAAAAGAAGCAACAAAGTAAAAATATTAGAAATAAGGATAATAAAGAATCAGTCATGTTGGAAAATAACATTACATACCTGCAAAAGAAGATTTAAGATGAATCACATGCCAAGAAAATGGGAATGGGACCATTCTCCTCAACTGGATCCGCTTCTGGAAAAATATCAAAGCCCTGTCCGGATACATAAACTTTTCCATTATATTCAACAGGGAAAAAAGACTCCCATTTGCAAATAAAAATAAACAAAACAAGAGTTATATGATTATTAAGGGTGTAAACTTTGGGTCAAATTTGGTAGTATAAAAGTCAAACCTCACTCCAGTTATAAGCTTGTTCAACAGTACATTCAGATTGTGATCTTGGGTTGGAAAGAGCAAGAATAACAGGTTTCTACAAAACCACTAATTTAGAAAACTTAATCGGAGGGTAGTTTGGGTATAAATAAAATGTTACCTTGTTAAAAGATGAAATACCTTTAATAAATGTATGTCCTGCCCCTGAGGATCTAATAATTAGCCCCTACAATAATACAATTTTGTTAAAGTTAAAGAATAATAATAATAATAATAATAATAATAATAATAATAATACCAAGAAAATGGCTGAAATCAATCTGCGGGCAAACCATCTTTTATGCATTGCCTGTTGAGTTCGTGAGGCTGCCAGCACTTTCCCTATTAAGAGAATGACAATTTTGCCCCTGGTCATTTCTTCTTTGCATGGCAAACTTGTTTAGATATCTTTAGATGGTTTGTTTTGTTCACATAATAAATTGATTTGTTATTAAATTATATACTTTTTTCATTAGGTAATAATATGAAAATGAAATAATGAATAATGATGCATATTTTTGACAACTTATAGTTATATACAATGAAAGAGATAAATAAATAAATAAAAAGAATGTTATACTTGTCAACATAAATATGCTTCACCCTTGCATAGTCGGAGCACTCTTCTCCCACATCCTCTTTGATGTCCAAATCAAATTCCGGGTCACTCTGCAAAAAATAATTAAATAAATAAATTTCTTCCAAACCAAGAAATAATATAATAAACTTGTATATTTTGTGTGAAAATTTATTTTTGAGAAAGAAAAGAAGATACCTCAGCAGCAGGGTCAAACATATTTTTTAGCAGCAAACACTCGTTAGGGTTTCCAATTGGCTCTGAAACAAATTGTGGGGGCAAAACAGGAATTGTAGCTGCTGCCACATTCATGACTTGAGTTGGACCAGATCCATTAACTATAGGTGCTCCAAGAGCCCTAGGAATACTGCAAAGAACCATCCAAAAATGTCAAAAGACGAAAATACCCCTGCCCCACTTAAAAAACGCGGATTGAAGACCCTAAACGTACCCTGTGGTAATACCACTGCGATCAAGTTTTGCCATTAGGATAGCTCTTCATTGAACATTTAGTGCCTTTATAAAAATAATAATGGTAATAATAATGAACTAAAAGCATAATTGTTTTAAATAAATTAATTAAAAAAATTAGAATTATATGGACTCACCAAACCTCCACCATCATCATCATCAAAGTCTGCTGCTTTTGCTCCTGTGTCTTGTGCACTAACATGCTCAGTAACTGAAGACACCTACAACCAATAAATTGTAAAAAAATAAAAATATAGTTGATAAAGAAAAGGATCGATGCAAGAAATAGTAACATACTTTAATTGATTTGTTCATTTAAAAACAAAGCTACAATTGAGTAGAATTTTCAAAGGACAATGCCTTTGAATTTGATAATATAAGAAAATTAATTGAAAGTAGAATATTGAAATAGAAAGAAATGAAAGTATAATAATAATAATAATAATAATAATAATAATAATAATAATATACTTACGTAGTCTCAGCAACATTCCAAATCATTAATCATTTTCTCGAGATCTAGGATATTAACATCATTAAAAAGTCATCTGTATTTGTCAATGACACAATTTCTTTTCTTTCATGTCCATAGCTAACGACTCGATCCCTGTAAAAAGTTTTCAGAAAGTTTAGTCAATCTTGTTTGACTGAAATGAAAACAAAGCAAACAAAGTATTAAGTATTAACTTAAAGTCTTCCTTTTCTGTTTATCACCGTGTACTTCAACCTTCATTACTACTTTCTGAAATTCAATACAAGACGATGAAAGTTAAGGTCAAGAATGATAATAAACGAGGTTAGACTGCATACAAAAACAGAGTATGATGATAATGATGATGAGTTTTGCGGGAAATAAAGAAAAGAAGACTTTTTATGTGGAGTTATTGATAGCAGGTAAAACCAATGAAGAAATAGAAATAAGATTGAAATTGAAGGAAAAGAAAAGATAAATCCATGACTCTCTGTGTATAATTTTCCATACTTAAAGAAAACAGAGGAGATGAAAATGGGAACATGCAAGAAGAACCCATCAAGAAACAGAGTTGGAAACTTAATTCATGTCCAAAGTATGATCAATTGGGGTAGTTTTATTGAATATTTTGAGTATACTTTGGATGAAAAAAAACTTGCATCTTCTATTTCCACAAGGATTGCATATATCAATAGTCATGAATCTAACCACAGGAGTTGATAGTCTACAAGGAAAGTGTTAAACTTGCAACTTCTGTTTATTTTATCATGATAGGTTTTTTGATCACTTGTGTCATCCAAATTTTTGGGAAAAACATTGAACTTTATAAGGTCAAAAGTCTTTCATAGAATTATGTGAAACAGAGGTGTTAATCGTCCATATACAAATTTCGACATTGTTCAACAAGGTTTTTCATTATTACCCACTAGACATTCAGTATTGCCTAAAAATTAAAAGTAGAGACCCTTAGTAACTGGCCTAACAACAAAAAAAATAATAGCAAATGAAAAGACACGTACTTGTTGACAAAGGATTCCAACAACGCCCTCCGATCTTCAATAGTTATCCTTTTTCTCTTAGAAGTAAAGGGAGCAGCAGAAGACCATCCATACTGTTGAACATTTGAGGCAGGCACCAAGTTGGATATCTCATTGACAACTACCATGTGTCCGCATTATTCAATGATCACAGTTTGTTTTAAGCAGAATGCAAAGAAAAACCAATGACTATTTAGCACCTCAGGTTAATGGCTCTCAAAGATGTAAATCAGGAAGCTTTTATAGAAGAGACATTTATAAAGACATTGGCCTACTCTCAAGTCTCAAGAGGTAAACCAAGAGTCCTAATGGCATTCAGCTATAAGAGCTTCTCCTATAGGTTGTGTGACAAACAATGATGAACATGAGACGCAGGTAACCAAACTTATAGCATTGCAAACATGTAAAAGCATTTTCAAGTTGTGTGCCTTGTACCAAACTACAATTGAACCTTATATATTCCAAGCCTAAACTTGTGTGCCTACTAAGTAACAAATAGTGATTTTAGCAAACAAAATGCTATTTTAATTTGTATTAAACTTGAAAAAAGAAACCAAATCCTATAAATATAAAGTTTATGGATATTCAAATACAATTGATGAACACAAATCTAAACATACAAGTATTACATTAAGTCGCTAAGCAAATGGAAAGGTGTGTGAATGTATATTCAGGTTGCAGTCAACGAATAGGTTCATGAAACACAGGAAGCGATCGTGCTAGATCAAGAAAAACAGGATATATTTACAATAAAAATAAGAAGAAACCTCGTCTGAAAGAAACAATATTTCACTGAATTCGTTAGAAACCTTTAACGATCGGCATCGAGAAAGTTTCAAATATAAACCTAAAACTCAATCGATGTAATAGAAAAAATAAGTTAAGAGTTTTTTTTACCTAAACTGAAATCGGATCCAATGGTAAGGTCCACCAGCACAGCAGCGACTTCGAAAGTGGTGGCGGCGGCAAGAGAGCGAGGTGATACTGGTCGCCGTTCACAGAGAGAGAAAGGGGAGCGATTTTACTTGGGGCGGTGGGTTCCAGGTCGGACCGACTGTGGGAGGGAGAAGGTATGCTGCATTGACGACTTTGGAGGAGCTTGAGAGATTTGCTGCCAGCGGTGACGGCGGAGGCATTGGCCGACTGGTTGCAGATCGGAGATGCAGCGGGAGAAGCAAGAGGTATCGTGTGAAGTACAAAGAGAAGAGGGGAAGTGGGAGTAGGGCACAATCGCTAGACGCGTTTTTTTAATTCATATTTGTTCAGCGAAACTCACCCGTTAACATTCGTCTATTTACCAAGTTGCCCCTATTATTTAAAAAATAAAAAAGAAAATCCAATTTTACCAACAAATTTCCGACGGAATGAAAAATTGTTGATTTTCCGTTGGTAAAGTGTCGGTAAGTTGTAACGGATTACCAACGAAATATATTGTGTTGCTAAACCGTCGGAAAACCGTCACTAAAATCCATATAATTAAGTTTTCTTAATTTGTCGGTATTCCGTCTCTATTTCCCGACGGATTTTTCCGTCGTTAAAATTCTGTCGGTAATGCCCTTTTTTCTAGTAGTGTCTCTCAAATCTCTCTCTACCTCCATTGCTCTCTATCCTAATCACCACCATAGGACTATCACTTCCACCATCCTAAAACACCCAAAACACCTTCCTTATAATCCCCTTAATCACCATCCCCCCTATCTGCCCGTCTCCTTCATCGAATCCCACTCAAAACAGGAGGAGGAACCAGAGGGAACCACCCACGCCCACCATACCATCACCCACTGCCACCACCGGGAAAACCCAACCTCCATCCCTTGGTTACTGCTGAATTCGGTCCCCAAGGGCCTCTCAACTCTCCCTGCATCGGACCCATCATCACCAGCAAGAAGAAGGCGACAGAAGACCACCAGAGTGGCCTCCTGCCAACTCCGTCACCACTTTGTTGCAGATCCAAATCACCGCCCATCACCACCTATGCTGATATTCTTCAACCTAAGTCATCCCTCCTTCCATCTCCTTGCTCGGTGTCAGTCTTTTGCGCATTTCCGATCGACACAAAACCATATTTGTATTTTTCTTTCTCATGATCGACTGCGAACGAAGGAAAACACAGGAGGCTGACCACCTTCTGTGTAATCAAACTTATATACCTTTTTAATATATACAATTCCTCAACTTCGACTTTGGCCAGTTTTGACCCCTCCCCCTTAAAGTTGTTTTCAAAGAAAATGCTAAATTAATAAAACTTAAGTTATAAGTTAGAAAAAAATACCCCCAGTTTGGAAAAACCTATTAATTTGACGCAATCTTAATATAAATTGATTTATAAAAATTTTATACATTTTTTTTATTTATTTAGTTATCTATTTTAAATTAAATTAAATATTGAATTATTAATTTTGATATTTACCAAATATTAACAATGGTTTGAATTTAATTAATTTTGGACTTATTTACCAATTTTGGAAAATATTAAAATAAATATATTTTTAGATAAAATTTATTATTTAAATAAACTTTTCAAATAATCAAACTTGAAAAATTGATAAGTTGTTATACTTAGTCAAAAATACCCAATCATTTCCACATATTAATTTATGATATTATTTCATTAGGAAACTAAATATCGCATTCACGGAAATACAACCCGACCTTCTTGCATCCATTCTCGAACACTAATCGTCAACCGCTCGTTATGGTGATTGTTACAACCCCATTTTTACATTTTTTTGGGGGGGGGGAATACATGTACTAATATATATATATATATATATATATATATATATATATATATATATATATATATATATATATATATATATATATATATATATATTCTAAATGCTTTGTTTATACAAACAACATCACAATTTTTTGATGTAATATAAATCACACAAAAATATTATTTACTACTCTACTACTTACGGTACAGGGAATCTAGTTTGAAGGGCTGCTTGGTTGTTGGATTTCAGAACGGCTTACTTGGCTAAATGATCATGTCATCCGGTGTTTCATGTCTAGCCCTCGTCTGTATAATGGTAGTACGTGTACTAAGTAATATTTATCATACAAAATACACATGAAATATCATTGTTTTGTGTAAACACATTATTAGTTTGAGAAATAATTGTTTAAACACATATATGTTAAGTAAATAAAATCGTTGTAAAACATCAATATATACATATGTTATGTTGTTAAAATAATACAACTAATAAAAATAACATATACAATCTGACTATAAAGGTGCTATGACTGTATAGATGGTTATCAACTTGGTAGTTTCAATATACCTCATATGTACACAAAAATATATAGGTTTATATATTTATACAAGTTTAAGAAATTGTATCTTAGGCTCATATATGTGCTTGTGTACACTATACTATGTTTTATCAACTGTTTAAACAAGTATCGTACACTTTTACGTGTACGCTTATCAAATATACTTGTTGTTTATGTAACATACACGTTTAGTTACCGTGTTTTGTAATTTTAAAAATGAATAATATTATGAAATATTATGTGAATTTGAGTATTGAGTTCTAACAGATAGTTTTTACTTGAATTGAAGTAAAACTATGTTTAGAATCATTTAGAATGTTTTGGAAGTCTTCTGAGATTCCGAACAAAAGTCAAATATTGAAATTTAACGAAAATATAAAATTTGAAATAAGTAAAATTCTATTATTTAAAATTTTAAAGAATCTCGTTAGAAACATTTAGGCGAAAACCTCATCGAAATCCGAGTTATAACGAAGAAGTTATGACTATTTGAAGTTTCGCGACAGAACCGGCACGACGCCGTATGACGTAAAAATTGAGTTTTCGATAAACTACTTTTTTAGCCCTTATGATCTAAATGAAATTCGTAGTATTCGCTAAACCGAGAGTTTTCATAAAAAGAACGTCCAAATCTGACTTCGTATGAGGAAGTTATGATTTTTCTAAGTTTCGGAATAGCATTAGACAGCTAAAAACTCGAAATAAAGATCGAGTGATATTTAGCCGACACGACCTAAACGAGAATCGAAGGTCACGTCAATATTAGTACAACGGTAAAAAGACAGACGAAAACAGACGTCAGATGAAGAAGTTATGAATTGTTTAACGGGCTTATCCTGTCCCGACCTGTTAAAAATATAATAATAAAAATAAAATCAAATTAGCCGACAGAGTCTAAACGAAAGTTGTAGAGTTGATTCTCGCCTACGCGTGGATATAAGGAACGTTAAAAACGGAGCTAGTACGCAAAAGATATGAATTTTAGAAGTTTTTAAATAAAAATAAATGAAAATTCGAAGTTTTTAAACGGAGGTACGTCCAGCGTACTTCGTACGCCCAACGTTCGCATGCGGGGTCAGAAGTCGGCCACATCCTTCTCTCTTCGCACGAAGCACACGTATCGGATAAGATTGCCACGTCCGAGACCCGGGTTCCGATCAGAGGACACGCCTCGCATGTACGCCCCGCGTACGAAGGCTACGCCCCGCGTAGATGGCCGCCTCGCAGTACGCCCAGCGTACAGAGGACTTACGCTCAGCGTAGTCAGCAGCTTCGGTCCCCTATAAATAGAGACCGAGGGTCTCTGGAATTATGTTACATTTTCTTATTTCCTTTCACTCTAAAACCCCTTTTAGCCCACTTTTAACCCCCAGAAGCCCCAGTATCATTCCCGACACCCGAAGCAAGCCCCGACGCTCCGAAGTTCCTGATAAAATTATATTTACAAGCCGAAACTCTGCCCGTGTAAGGCCAGTTTTCATCTAAAATTCCCGGTTTCGTCACAAAAAGTCATATTTAGAGCCGTAGTGCTGCCCAAATTATCATTTAATCCTCAGTTATTTCACGGTGAGTTCAATATAGGGACAATTTTATGTTATGTGTTATATGTTCAATGTGCTTTCCCATGTTATTATGATAATGAGCTATACCTTTGACGACGAAGTGTATGCCATAAGAATCACTTGGGTACTGGTATGTAGTCTTTGGTCATGAAGTGTATGACATAAGCATCACTTTGGCAATAGCAAAATACAAAGACAAGGTGAAAGCCTGTGTATTCTAGCAAATTGATATTCGGAAATTATATTTTCTACGTCACTTGGGCTAAAGTCTTATTGATGTATATCAAGTATTGAAATTGTTATGTCTCATTGATTACAAATCTTTGAATCAGATTATTCGTTGATATGGAAATCCTGTCATATGATGCTCATTTGTCTTTCTTGTTCCTTGTCCCTCTTTGCTTCTGTCATATTGATATGTATATGGCATAATGTTATATTGTAACTGTTATTGAACTCACTAAGCGTCATCCGCTTATCCCTCTCAATGTTTAAACTATTGCAGGTGATAAGCATCCAGTATAGTTTTATACTAGTAGAAGATGTAGAATAGATAATATTATAACTTTTGTAATGTATTCCTGGGAAAATATGTAATATATAAAACTTTGTAAAAATCTTAATAGTTAGTTTGTATCCAGTCTATGTAAATAAACTATCAATGTAAAATATTGTTTTATGAATACGCATGTAGCATATTTTGGAGTAACAATGTTTTCAAAAATACGAAAGTTTAGAAAGTTAGGGTCTCACAGTTTATCCGTTTATCCGTATCTGCGGTTGTTAAGTACAACCTTGGCAGATAACTTTATCCTTATATATGTATGTCTGTTTATCCGTTATCCGTATAAATTTGTCACTATAAACTTTAACTAAATTTCATTATGTAGAAACCACAGTTTAGATTTTTATCTTTATCAAACATTTACAAACAGGGTTTTTACTTACAACAAAGGGAATACTTTTCGAACTTTTTTAAAGCATTGTACTGCGGTTAAGCAGAAAACATGTGACTCTCACCAACCTTTGTTTTGACCCTCAAACTTACAGGTATCCTCAGGAGATAATTAGACAAGCTTTTAGACAGAACATTAGTCGTGGATTACAGACAACCTAGCAATCTAGTTTTTGTTATCTGCCTACCCGTTTAAGGCAACTACTATACTATTATTATTTGTAAGAACCTTGTATTCAAACTTAATGATGGAATACAAATGTTTTTTTGTTTATCGTAATATTTTTGCTATATATTCAATTTATCTGTGATCTATGAACTTAATCGCACTCCC